CCATGGGTTCTGAGAGAATGTGCATCTGAGCTCAGCATTCCACTTCACCTGATCTTTCAGGCATCCCTGTGTACAGGAATCGTAGCAGACGGGTGGAAACAGGCTAACATAGTTCCAATCTACAAAAGTGGCAGCAGGGAAGACCCCCTCAATTATAGACCTGTATCATTGACAAGTGTAATAGTGAAAGTATTGGAAAAACTAATCAAAACTAAATGGGTAGAACACCTAGAGAGAAATGATATAATATCAGACAGACAGTATGGTTTTCGATCTGGAAGATCCTGTGTATCGAATTTACTCAGTTTCTATGATCGAGCCACAGAGATATTACAGGAAAGAGATGGTTGGGTTGACTGCATCTATCTGGACCTAAAAAAGGCTTTCGACAGAGTTCCACATAAGAGGTTGTTCTGGAAACTGGAAAATATTGGAGGGGTGACAGGTAAGCTTCTATCATGGATGAAAAATTTTCTGACTGATAGAAAAATGAGGGCAGTAATCAGAGGCAATGTATCAGAATGGAGAAATGTCACAAGTGGAGTACCACAGGGTTCAGTTCTTGCACCAGTGATGTTTATTGTGTACATAAATGATCTACCAGTTGGTATACAGAATTATATGAACATGTTTGCTGATGATGCTAAGATAATAGGAAGGATAAGAAATTTAGATGACTGTCATGCCCTTCAAAAAGACCTGGACAAAATAAGTATATGGAGCACCACTTGGCAAATGGAATTTAATGTTAATAAATGTCATGTTATGGAATGTGGAATAGGAGAACATAGACCCCACACAACCTATATATTATGTGAGAAATCTTTAAAGAATTCTGATAAAGAAAGAGATCTAGGAGTGGTTCTAGATAGAAAACTATCACCTGAGGACCACATAAAGAATATTGTGCAAGGAGCCTATGCTATGCTTTCTAACTTCAGAATTGCATTTAAATACATGGATGGCGATATACTAAAGAAATTGTTCATGACTTTTGTTAGGCCAAAGCTAGAATATGCAGCTGTTGTGTGGTGCCCATATCTTAAGAAGCACATCAACAAACTGGAAAAGGTGCAAAGACATGCTACTAAGTGGCTCCCAGAACTGAAGGGCAAGAGCTACGAGGAGAGGTTAGAAGCATTAAATATGCCAAAACTAGAAGACAGAAGAAAAAGAGGTGATATGATCACTACATACAAAATAGTAACAGGAATTGATAAAATCGACAGGGAAGACTTCCTGAGACCTGGAATTTCAAGAACAAGAGGTCATAGATTTAAACTAGCTAAACACAGATGCCGAAGAAATATAAGAAAATTCACCTTCGCAAATAGAGTGGTAGACGGTTGGAACAAGTTAAGTGAGAAGGTGGTGGAGGCCAAGACCGTCAGTAGTTTCAAAGCGTTATATGACAAAAGAGTGCTGGGAAGACGGGACACCACGAGCGTAGCTCTCATCCTGTAACTACACTTAGGTAATTACACTTGGGTAATTACCACTCCACCCATGTCATAGAAGACATAACCCACAACGGAGCCATGTTACACATAAGTGAACGACTGAGTAACCAGTAAGAACAATGGTGCATTAACTAAATGAAAAATGCCCCTAAAACGGTTAAGGAATGATAAACTTTCAACCGTCCAGCCGCCATATTCAAAGAGTGGATGACAATAAACCACAGCTGTGGGATGGTGTGGGGCCTCGTAGCCTGGTGGATAGCGCGCAGGATTCGTAATTCTGTGGCGCGGGTTCGATTCCCGCACGAAGCAGAAACAAATGGGCAAAGTTTCTTTCACCCTGAATGCCCCTGTTACCTAGCAGTAAATAGGTACCTGGGAGTTAGTCAGCTGTCACGGGCTGCTTCCTGGGGGTGGAGGTCTGGTCTAGGACCGGGCCGCGGGGACACTAAAAAGCCCCGAAATCATCTCAAGATAAGCCCTGGCAGCCAGTCGCGGCAATACAAAAAAAAAAAAAAAGCTCACAACACAAGGGTCACAAGCAGTACTGTATAGTAAAACATTTGTTAAAAAATATAACCAACAAAACCGCTGATAAGAGAGGAAGTAAGCACAGAGGTACCAAAATCACCGCGAAATATTGCGCAATAAATGTACGATGAACTACGCATGATATTGATGTTTTTTCTCCCCAGTACAAAACATCCAGGCAAAAGATGGATGCATCCGATGCGAAGGTTATGGATGCATCCGATGCGGCCAAATATGGGAATACTAATTCAGATAGAGGACGAAAACCCCTCTCCTGCAGCAACAACACTGGCGCAGTGGACAAAGAGCCCAAGCAGGGTCAAAAGGTACCCAAAAGCTCATAGTGGTCTCCCCTGACCCGAGCCCCGGGAACCCCCCGACAAAGGCCTCGGGGAATAGTGCTCATCCACGCCCACCCTCCCTGAAGAATAGGTGGAATCCAGGGGAAAAGCTTCCAAGAAAGAAGTCTGCTGGGTTGACTCAGAAGCCCCGGTGGGGAAAATCGGGCTAACCACCTCCGTGCCCGAAATGGAAGGGGTAGCCCCTGAAGACACCCGAGCCTCATCACGAACTAAACCGCCAAATCCTCAGACATTTGGGAGTCAGAAGCAGGGAGGGAGGGAGGAGCAGGGCGAACCACGCCCACCTGGGAAGGAAGCGGGGCGAGGATGGCACCAAGGTCGAAACTACCAATGACCCCAAATCCTGGTCCCAAAACCCAAGCGAGGCAGCTCCGGGGTCTCCAACCGAGCAACCAACCTGGGCCGTTGCAATAAGGAGAATCGAGCAATGCAATGCAGCCACCTCCTGATCCCTGAGATCATTAGACAAGGAATGGGTAAATTGAAGCACAAGCATTGAACAAGTCCTGCAAGACTCCGAGTCGAAGGTGTCACCGACCCAACAGGCAGCATGACGGGGGCAGGATGGATGATCGTCTCCCTGAGGCAGGGACGACAAACAACTTTCAACTTCACACAAGGTGAGAACTCAGAAGGAACATCCATGGTAACCCCGAGCCCACTGGGGTTTTCCAGGGCCTGTTGGGTGAGCAAGCCCTATGGGAAGGCCAGGCACTAGGGCTAGCTAAATCGGTAGAACCCAGTCAGTCAGCAGCAAACAGACCACCAGTAGCAGCCATGAAACCTCGGGAGCAACAGAGGACGACCACCAACACAACCTAGGCTTGCTAGTAAGTAGTTAGGCAGACCACCTCCGTTAACAAAAAAGCTAAAACGCTAGAAAATAAAAACAACTCTCTCGAAGACACACAACAAACAAACTGGCAGCCAGAGAGAAACGTCGGCCGCTGCGGGTGCAAGCTGCGCCCGACCCAGCCAATAACACACTCCACCCAGGGCAAGACGGAAGGCCCAAGACCCCCTTCGTACCCCTAGGGCGAAGACAACGGCAAGCAGCGAAGTCCTCAAATGGGAGTGAGCCCCAAACGCCCCAGGGAAGATAATCCTGAAATGCAAGGGTAGAAGTTACGAAGCCCCTAGGGAAGGTCACCATAGGCGCATGCTGCTCCACGTACAATAAGACACCTGGCCACTACACCACACACACTGCTGGTAAAGCCACACAGGGCAAAATCCAGAACAGGAACTCGAGGCCAGAGGTGATCGAGCTGACCCTAGCACATCAGTTCATGAACTGAAGTGGTATGCTGTTGGCTCCCCCTCCCCCCTTCCCCTACAATGGAAGGGGGTAGTGCTAACCAGTGGAAGTGCTAGTCACATGAAGGATTGCTAGTTTAGTTTCTTTCTAGGGGGAGTTATTTCAATCTTTTGGGATGTAGACTGCACAGGTCAACCAGACAGTCGTCTGTTTTGGTTCACATACCTTTCTGGGTCCTTTACTGGTTGATGGCAATTATGACATATTGCACTATAAATGTAAAGTTCCCTGCACCTATTTGAGGAGGGACCAGGTTCTGTCTTGTGGTTCTCGGTAGGCATACGAGCTCCTGTGACTGATTGACTGATGACCCCAAACTAATATAGCATATATCAATTCTGATAACTTCAGGGAGCCGACGGGGCTCCCCACAGAAATACTTTATCTTAAACACACACCACACCTCTCTCATCATCAACATGACCACGACTGCTTGGACAATTCCTCGTTACTTTTTTTTTATGTTGGAACTTAACCTTATGATCAGAATTGAAGAATGTTATGTTACTTAGAACAATGTTTTCCCCCAAATCACAATCTGCTCATTGTTTTGTGTCTACTGTACATCCCTAATTACTGCTGCATATGCAAAATGAACAGTGTGCAAAGTCTAAGAGGGAAGGTACAGTGCCAAGGTACTGTGGTCAGAGCAGTCTCACATGATTCAAAATGGATTAAATATATAATCAGAGATTTTATTGACCACAAAGTCTATTCCCTTCCTCTCCCCCCCACATTTTAATGCCTACATTGTGCACAATAACCAGGGTCGTCTCACTGATACTGCACACTACAACCAGGGTTGTACTCACCTAGTTGTGCTTGAAGAGGGTTTGAGCTTTGGCTCTTTGGTCCCGCCTCTCAACTGTCAATCAACTTGTGTACAGATTCCTGAGCCTACTGGGCTCTATCATATCTACATTTGAAACTCTGTATGGAGTCCACCTGCACCACTTCACTGCCTAATTGTATGTACTAGCCCTATCTTTAAATCCAACATTATATTTGTAACTCATCTTCAATGTATGTATTTTTACCTGAATAAAAAATCTAAATCTAAAATCTAAATCTAATGCATTCCATGTTAACTACTCTGACACTAAAACACTTCTTTCTGACATTCCTGTGGCTTATTACAGTACAATACCTGAGTACCTGGGGTAGGTTAAGCACACAGTAACCCTGGGTATAGTACCCAGTACTGTACCTACTTTACACAAGTCTACTTCATATTATTTCATAAAGCTTTTTAATTGTTACTTCACAATCACGCTTTACCTAAAATGACTACTAATTACACAAAAACACTTAAAACTTCAGAGTACTAACAAGCTTATCGGGGTTGTTCCCAATTAAAGTTTCAAGCTGGTCTATTCTCTTCTCCAGCATAGCCGCATTGGCAAGCTGATTTAGTCGTGCATGTTCGGGTGCATAGTATAGCTCGTAAGTAATGGCACTACTGCTACTACCATCCCCGGATACTGTTCCTTCTTGTTTCACATTACTTCTGTTCTTCTCAGATACTAAACCTGTTTGTTTAAAGCTCTCCAGCAGATTAATTAGCTTTCTGAAAGAAAAACATATAATTACTATTCATTCAATCCATCAATATTTACATTTAAAGAAATCATTAGCTTATAAAACAACAAAAACATTATAAGACAAAGTAATTCACATAAAACAAAATTAACATACTTCTGAAGAGTTAACTGAGGTTGGGAGATGGATGCAACTACATCAGCACCCAGAGTGTCCTCCAGTTTAAGATCAACCAGAGTATGATGGAGAGCTTCCACCTGCTTGCCTAGCTCCACTGACGAAACTGAACCATCTCCACATGGTACGGAGCCCTGTTAGAGAAAGAATAATCACGTATACAGCTAATTTAGCTCAAAAGATTAAATAAATATGTAAATGAACAAGCATCATCAGCACGAATGCCACCAGCATGGACGCCAACACCACGGCTCCGTCTTCTTGGGCTATAACTCTGTATGGCAGGAGACGATGCTCTTCTACGTAGCACAGTACAGGCCTACCACAAACACTTAAAGTGGAAGGCACACTGTCGTTTTTCTCCTCAAGCCTCATGACATGCAGGGGCTTGGCTGGGGGGTGTTGCTGAGGCAGCAAATCCTGGCCTAGTAACATCACCACTATAGCAGTTTACTCTCGGTTCGTCAATGCTACTTGTATCTGAACCTATGCCACTGAACCTAGAAAAAAAAGACTCGTCACCTATACTATCATCTTGTACAGACACGTCAGATGGCACAGGTGGTGATGGTAAATCCAGTGGTGTTGACCTAAGGCAGCACGACAGGGTTGGCAAAAGCGTGTACTGCACACGCTCTGTATCATCCACATCAATGTCGTATCACTCATATCTGAAACCTGTGTTAAGTCTTTTTCTGGATCTGGGTCATCAATATCACTGGCATGGTCAACTTTAACCACTGTGCTGCACGGTCATAAAATATGACATTCCCGCTGTGACCTGAAAATAAATTCTTTGCAAAAAACCAGCGTTGAATGTAATGAAATGCCATTTTCAGGGTGAGTCCCAGAGGCTCCTCGGAGCTTACCAGGCTGATATGCTAATGTCAGACTTTGGCATCAGTCATGTGTATGGAGTTCTTATGGGCCTACCGGGGACCACGAGGCAGAACCTGTCCCCCTCAGAGAGGCAAGGGGAGCAATGGCCTATAGAAACCCCCGTGTGGTTGGAAGCATTCTATGTCTGCCATCGATTGGGTTAGGCACCCAGAAAGGTAGGCGTCCCAAAACAAACCCCCTATTCTGGTGAAAATTGCAACCAAAAGCCGAACGAGTGGATAGAACTCCCCAAATAAAAACGAGTAAACTAGTATAACGTCATTCGTCGTCGCACCGCTGTCTACGCAGCCGCCCCCTCCCCGGGAGGGGGAAGGGGAAGCCCCAGACCTACCGCGCCAGCGATCCACACCTTAGTTCTGAGGCTGGATGTCAAAAACACGCGAAAAACCGCCGACCGGAGGGAGGGAGGGATGCCAGGGAGCCTCCGAGATTCACCCAGAAAATGGCGTTTCATTACATTCAACACTGGTTTCCTGGGGGGAGCCCCTACGGCTCCCAGGAGCTAACTACCCACAGAGGAAAAGAAGAGGGATTGACCCAGGAGGCGGTCGCCGCACACTACATAATCTGAAGTCGAGACAACAGGCCGCATCCGCCGTCCCAAAGCGACACAGGCCCGACTGGGCCCAGGAACGTGTACAAGCTAATAAACAGCCAAACATCATGGTCGACCACCAAACTCCCCGTGCCCGAACGACCTCCCAGGACACAGTACCAAAGACGGCGGCAAGATCCGCGAACTTGCGGACGGCATGGGCACGGAGATAGACCGCAGGCAGGAGAGCCTGAAGAACCCCGCGGACGACCTGGGAGACCCGCACCTGCTAACAGGGAAGAAGGGAACCGGAGCAACCCAATTCGCGTCCACGGACCCAGAAGCCGTGGCGTGCCAACCACGGCAGAGAGCCGCAACCGGACAAAAACAAATGCACCCCCAGCCCAACCAACCAAGCATCAACAACCCATAGACCCCGCTGGAAAGCAGCAGTCACATCCATCTCCAGAAAAGAAGGAGACGGCAGCAGACGACCAAACCGAACACCTCAACCGAAGGAGCAGAAAAACTTCTGCGCAGGAGGAGAGCATGAAGCTCACCTACCCGACCCCCAGAGGCCAAGGCCAACTGGAAAAGAGCCATCAAAAAACAAACCGGCACTGAAGGGACCACAAGAAAACGAGGAGAAGGAAAAGAGCGCTCCGTCCAATTACCAGGACAGCTCAAGCGGCGCAAGAACAGGCCGGAGGTGAAACAAGCACGAGACAGCTTACGAACGGTGCAGAGGAAAATCCGAAAGCAACCCGAAGCGGCTCCGTCAGCGCCGCATAAAACAAGGGGACAGTATGCAACAAGACGACGGCCCCCGAACCCCCAGCAGAAAAGCCAAGCCGATGCCAACAAACGCAGCCACCGAAGAAGGGACAGAAGGAAAAGGAAGGACCACCAAAACACCCCATACTGCCGCCAAAAAGCACACAGGTGGGACACCAACAACAAAGCCACCGGACCACCAACGGACGCGAGATCCCCGAGGCAAAACGTAATCAGCACTGCCAAGGGTCACCCGAGCCTAGGAAGAGGCGGAGCCGCAGGAAGATCTTGGGTGGGACCACCAAGGAAGCAGAGCCGGAAGCTCAAGCCGGCAAGAAGGAGATGGAACGTCTGTCGAACAGAAAACACCCCAACTCTAGCAAGCTCGCCAGGGGATCTGAAACCACGGGTCCGACGTGAGACACCAGAGAAGGGACATCGCAAGACCCTGAAAACACAACAGGCAGGGCAAGCCAGGAAAACAGGAAAGCAAACCTGGCAACAAGAAGGCCAAAAGCCACAAACAAAACACACAATGATAAAAAGACTAGCAGAAATGCCCCAGCATCAGCGGCCAGGGACAAGAGTGAAGCAGGAAGACAAGAAGAATGCAAGAGGAAGGGAAGTGGCGGAGGCCAACCCCACACCCAGCGTCCAGTGCAGAGAAGAGCTCAATAGGTTCCGGAACTGGAACAGAAAGCGAATAATAGGCGAGGGGCGAGACGAAGAGCCCAAGCTCATACCCAGCCAGCACAACGAGGTTAGGACAGAATCTAAGGAACATGGAAAAACCAGGCCCGGCAAGGAAGGAGGGCCCCAAAAAACCAGCGTTGAATGTAATGAAACGTCATTTTCTAGACGAGTCCCGGAGGCTCCCCAGAGCTATCCCAGGCTGATATTCTAATGTCAGACTTTGGCATCAGTTATGTGTATGGAGTTCTTAGGCCTACCGAGGACCACGGCCAGAACCGGGCCCCCTCAGAGGCAAGGGGAGCAATGGCCTATAGAAGCCCCTGTGTGGTTGGAAGCATTCTATGTCTGCCATCGACCGGAACAGGCACCCAGAGAGGTAAGCGCCTCAAAACAAACCCCTATTCTGGTTAAAATTGCTACCAAAAGCTGAACTAGTGGATAGAACTCCCCAACAGAAAATAAGCAAACTAGTGTGACGTCACACGCCGCCGCGCAGCTCTCTGTGCAGCTTCCCCCTCCCTGGGAGGGGAAAGGGGGGAGCCCCAGACCCTCCACGCCGGCTACCCACACCTCAGTTCTTGAGGCTGGATGTCAAAAACGCAAAAAAAAACGCCGACCGGAGGGAGGGAGGGATGCCGGGGAGCCTCCGGAACTCACCCAGAAAATGACGTCTCATTCAATCAACGCTGGTTTTCTGGGGGGAGCCCCGTCGGCTCCCCGGAGCTAACTACCCACACACGGAAAAAGTGGGACTTACCCGGGAGGCGGTTGTCGCTCACTCCTCAACTCGAAGCCGAGACAACTGGCTGCAACCGCCGACCCAAAGCAACACAGGCCCGACGGGGCCCAGGGACATTCACAAGGTAACGAGCAGCCAGGACCCTGTTCAACCGCCAAAATCCCCGCGCCCGAATATCAGACCAAGACATATTCCCAAAGACGGCAGCAAGAGCCGCGAACTTACGAACGTCATGGGTACAGGGATAGACCGCAGGCTGGCTGGACTTAATAACCCTGCAGACGACCTGGGAGAGCCGAACCCGCGAACAGGGAAGAAGGGAAACCGGATCAACCCACAGCACGTCCCCGGACACAGAAGCCGTGGCGTGTAAATAACGGCGAAGCGCCGGAACCGGACACAAAACATGATGCACCCCCGGCCTGACCAACCAAGCATCAACCACCCATGGACCCCTCCGGAACGCAGCAGTCTCATTCTTCGCCAGAAAAGAGGTAGAACAAAAAAAATCCCCACGACCAAAAGAGCAGAAACCCCTGCGCCGGAGGAGAGCATGAAGCTCCCCTACCCAACCCCCAGAGGCCAAAGCCAACAAGAAAAGTGCCTTGGAAAAACAATCCTGGACCGAAGGGGCCACAACGAAACGAGGAGACGAAAGGAAAGCGAGCAATCTGTCCAAAAACCAGGACGGCTCAGGCGACGCATGAGCAGGCCGGAGGTGAAACAATGCACGAGACAGCTTGCGAAACTGCGCAGACGTAACATCGATACCGAAGGCAAGCTGAAGCGGCTCCGCCAGCGCCGCACGATGAAAAACCAGACTTCAGGAGAGGACATTATGGTGACCTTAGAAATTTTTTTAGTGAGTATAATTGGACAGACTTGATGCTAGGCAAGGAAGTGAATGAGATGTATGGCAAGTTTTGTGAAATATATGATAAAGGCACAAAAAAATTTATACCAAAACAGAGATGCAGAACTAGGAAACAGGATTGGTTCAATAGAAATTGCGAGAGGGCTAGAGACCGAAAGACACAAAAATGGAATCAATACAGGAAGAGGCCGAACCCCCAAACATACCAGCGATACAAAGATGCGAGAAACAACTACACGGCAGTGAGGAGAGAGGCAGAAAGAAATTTTGAAAAAGGGATTGCGGACAAATGTAAAACAGAACCAGGTCTATTCTATAAATTCATAAACAACAAATTGCAGGTAAAGGATAATATTCAGAGGTTGAAAATGGGAAATAGATTCACGGAAGATGAAAAGGAAATGTGTGAAACACTAAACGAAAAGTTCCAAAGTGTGTTTGTACAAAATGAAATCTTTAGGGAACCAGATACAATAAGAATTCCAGAGAACAACATAGAACACATAGAGGTGTCTAGAGACGAAGTGGAAAAAATGCTCAAGGAGCTCGGTAAGAACAAAGCAGCTGGCCCAGATGGCGTTTCACCATGGGTTCTGAGAGAATGTGCATCTGAGCTCAG